TTTTTTTTTTTTCTCAACCTCAGTTTCTTTTTCCAAATTCCTTCCCTTTACACATTCATTTATAGTAATAAAATAATCCCTTACTACGACTTGCACCATACAGATTTTTATTAAATGTATGAGCGCCATCTAGGTGCTCTCAAGTTTTCGTTTACATAACTTAAACTACACTCAGTTTTGTCAACAAAGACTCTTGAGTTATACAGAAAATTTCATAAGCATCCTTTAAGCACTGAAAGATTTGGAAAAAAAAAGCTTTTTCAGATTTCTAAGAAAAAAATTGTATTTCACCAATGATATAAATATAGTAAAGTAAAATTGCTATTCAGTAACAGTCAAAGGCATCATCAAAATTCAATCCACTAGCCGCGGTGGTGTCACCAAATGTCCCATCAAAAGTGGACTTCACAAGACGTTTAAAGATTCGTTTAACATTACTCATAATCTAAAAATGTTCAAAAGCTAGGCTTTTTCTGTCAGTTTGTTATCTAAATACTTATTTTCCAAAATGCAGACGAAAATATTCTTCAAACTTTTAAGGACCAAGACAATGTTAATGAAAATTTTTGTTAAAGTAACTCTTAAAAATACCGACTACTTTGAAGAGTTACCATAAATTTTTTACAAACCATATTTAGGTTACAGTTCATTCCAAAGTATCAAAAGTATTTGTACAGTAAAAAGCCAAACCTTTAAACATTGTTTGCTTGAAAAAGTGAGCAGCAAACTGCTGTGCTCTGAGCTCTAAGATTTCAAACCATTTAGAATCAATCAGAGATCAAAGACTTGAAAAAGTTTTCTTGAAAGTAAGCTGCCTCATGAGTCACAAAGTACTAAACTTTTCTTATCAACCCTAAAATTGTCGTAAAAACAATGAAAAAAAAACAACAGAAATAGCAAAATACTTAGACAGTGCTGCCAGATGTGGCAGTACTCCGCAAAGAAAAAAAAAATCCACATAGTGAATTTCTTTATCTTTACAGGTTACGCAGTTTGCTGCAACGTTCACTGCGTGTATGTTTTCGTACAATATTTATTAATGAACCATTTGAAAAAAAGCTCTCGTCTGTTTGTTCCACTTTTTTTAAGAAGTTAATCGCAACCAAAACATTAATGAAAAGATGCTTTTGTACTTTTAGACAGTATGTTTAAAAGTATTAAAAAAACGTCAACTTAAACATGAAACAAGCGCCAAAAGTTCAGTAAAAAATGTCACTGTTCTTAATTGCTCACTCGTCTACTTTTAGACGGTGTCAAATAACCGGGGTGTAAATATTGGTATACGTACTCCACCAACTTGTGGACAGAAACCGGAAGGAAGTCGTAGAACGCAGCATTTCGTGGCTATAATCACACTAACAGCTCTTGAGTTATTGAAAAACTAAGATACACACTAACCTTTGTGCAACGTGCGTCGCCTAACTTTAACGAAACAAATTTTTACGGTTCATCTCATCAGCATAAGCCGTCACCCGTTGCTACATCTATTCTTTGTTGTGTATTGCTCACCAGTTTAGCTTTAATAACAACACTAACATCAGATGATGACCAACTGAACAAAAAAGACCTCACTTCTCTCTGTACAGCCGTCAGTCCACAAACTCCCAAAACTTCTCCAATTGTTAATTCAAAAAAAAAACCTAAAAACAAACTACAAACTACAACGAAACAATCTCTTAAACAAAATAAAATACCGGGTAATTTTCGAATTCCTCTCAAAATACGCAGCAAACTTTCCGCTTAACATATGACTTTACATCAAAAATGTCCAACGAATTTCGTGCAACAAACGATTTATTAGTAACAAACATGTCTTTGGCAGCAGATGTGCTTTCAGGCAAAATTAAACCGACAAAAAAAAAATCTGAGGAAACCTAACCAAATACAATGAAAAAATTGTTCACTGGTCAACAACGAAGATCAGTATGGCACAACATCTGTAATTAATGAAAGATCCATTGCATCAAGCGGTACTCGAACAATCGCTAACATTTTAAACGCTATCCCGCCACTTCATGGACCGTAAGAAGGTTTAACTCTACTTATACAACTGTTCTAATCACTGTAGCTCTCAATCTACCGCATTTCAATGTTAAGTAGGAAAAACGAATCTAGGCGCCAGTGGTACTGCTTAAAAAACCAATCAACACTGCAGTAAACAGAAAAAACTCACCTTGATGCGTCTATGACTCCTCATTCTACTCCAGTCCTTTCAGTTCAGAGCTGAGAAATTAATGTACTACGACTTAAAAAAATTAATTGCAACGATGTGTTCAATTCAAGCCGTCATAATGGAATGAGAAGCCACTTACTCTGTTGACAAGCAGACGTTATTTTCAGTTAAAAACCCTTCCATGTGTCGAATGTGTCAAACAACACTGAGCCCTCCCTAAAAAGAAACACAGTTTTCGTTACAGTCCCTCAGTCTCACCAGCAATTGCTAAGTACCCAGTCTACACAACTGTTAAAGCTCAGTTTCTCAAAGAGAATTCAAATAAGCCTAAAATACGGATCCTGAGTTGCAAGTCTGAGCTTTAGGAAACTTAACAAGCCACTTTGCCTTGAGGAATTAAATTAGAGACACAAAACTGAAGCAGTTAAAGCGTGATAGATTAAAATTAAGTAGCTTAATGTACAAATAATCCAAAAAAAAGAAAAAACAAGTACGATATTGACAAGCAAAAGTTGACCTGTACAATATATACATTAAAAATACACCCGTTTCGCATCAGAGACATTAGATTCTATTGGACAATAAGGACATTTCAAACGAGAATGAGTATAGGACGCATTTATGTGGGTTGGGTTGACAAATCTTCCACTTTGAGCTAACTTTTGTAGGGCATCACGGGATATCACATGACCGCAGTTTAAACGCATTGGAGGATTTGCTTCCGTACACTGAGCCTAAAGAAATTCTAGTTTCTTTAAGAAATATAAAAAATACCAAATTAATAGAGCTAACCCTTAAAACGTGAAGTACAACAGAAGTGGCCAAAAAGCATTCTACCTCATATATAGAAAAGAATTGAAAGTAAGCTCATCATCAAATTAAAGAAATAACATACACAACAAAATTAAAAAGACAGATCTAGTCAATGATGAAATACGATGTTTTTTAGACTATAAAAATATACTCACTTTAAGGATCGGACAAGCAAATACGGAGTGAACATGGCAAGGAACCTCAACTTCAATTGGTAACTCATCACCATGAAACAAACTTTCTGGACGTCTATTGACCATCATTGTTCGCAATGTTATCAAAGATGGGACAGCTTTTATGCCAGTTTCCAGTCTAAAATAAACCAAAACTTACCGTGAGATGACCAGTGACTATAAAGATTTGATGAAACAAAAGTGCCTACAGAATCCCAATAATCACCTAAAGAAATCCAGGAATTAATATGCATTGGAAAATGAAACTTATGTTCAAAAGTTTAAAACATCCTCAACATGCAAAACAGCAACGCAATATCTACACAGTTATTGTTAAAACTGTATCACCGCCCACTTTCGAACCCAATACTGAACACGCGGCCTAATAGTAAAAAAAAACCTACGAAATCGAGTAAATGAGAATCGAACTAAAAGAAACTCCAGCTAAGAAAGTCAGATCTCCTACAGGTTAAAGAAGCGTACTGCACTACTAACTAATAATAAAATGCGACTAAATACTAACATACGTAGCTGCCTTTGAGCATTTACGTATAGTCCTGATGTCCAATTTCCTAAATGGTGTCTAACGTCCAATAAAAACGTTCACAGCTCTCAAAAGCACTCTGGCAACACTAAGTACTAATCTTTTTCGCACTTAACTATATTGTTTACAATATGTAGATTATAAGGCATCATAGTTCCTTAGCATACCCATAAATTACATTAGGATATCGTCGGTACGCAAGAAACCCAGTTTTCTTATCCAATTCAGGTGCAGTCGCAAGCCTTTTAGTATCAAACTCATCATTAAGAAGTAATCAGCTGCTTAATTTTGCACTCTTTGTTAAGCGGACTTTTCTGACTGATATAAAGCTCAAGGACTGCAACTGACTAGCAAAATTTCAGGCTCAATAATTCATCGCATTCCAATGGTGGGCTTAAACGTAGTTATGACTTATAATGAGAGCAGTCTTTATAAGCAGCAGTGACTGTAGAGTATCGAAGTAATGCCTCTAATCCAATAAAGATTACCAAAAAACTAAACAGCCCAAGAAACTCAGTAGTGGATGTACGACATCGACTTTGAAACCCGGGAATTTTTGAATAGAGACTACATACAATCACTCCGTAAGAAAACTGTTTCATCCCAAGTAAAAAGGACCTTCACAATACTTTCAGTTCAATAAAGTGAAAAGCTTATTCAATCATTCTGAAACCATAATCACTTGTACAGGATGTTTGACGAAGCAAAAAACGCCAACTCGTCGGAACTGATCCAAAAAAAAAAAAAAAAGCTGCAAATCACTAAACAGCGAAATGCATGTTTAAAAAAACAGTTCAAAGAAACTTACAGGTACAACATTCATTTAAAGGTAAGTGAAAAGTAACTAACATCTGATTGAGGTAATTATCAGAATGAGACAGCACTTTTGCCAATCGTAATTCAAGCTGATGCCACACAGCAGGATTGAACAATTGTGGGTACCGCTTTTCAGGATCTTTTACGACCATAGCCCACATCAACGGTCCAACTTCTTCTGCTCTACTAGCAAGCTGTCGACTATATTCCAACGCTTTCAATTTGTCCCCTAATTTAAGAAAAGATAAAAATCAAAAATGTTTGAATGAATGAAGTCTGAATTTAATAAAAACCTTCTTGAAGGTACTTGATAAACTGCTGTTTTTGCAAGTCAAAAATCAAAGCTTCTTCTTCTGGCGCATTTGCACGTAGCCATTCTAAAGCCGGAGTAGGATCTTTTTCAGTGAAAGCGTCAATTAATTTCCGAGCTTGAGTGTTATCCAAGTTTGGAAAGTTACTTCCTGCCGGTAACGGGGCTTCCTAGAAACCGTTTCCATACTTACAAAATCCTTCCACCAAATATACTGATCAAAAAGGTGATTAAAGCACAAATCAAAAAGACGAGCAAAACAAAAGAAAGAAAAAAAGTTACTTTTAACAACGTTTCAGCAACTTCAAATTTCCCGGTGGACGTGAGATGCTCCGTTATCAAAGCATTCACTCGTTTATGTAATTTTGGATCGCTGTCAAAATTCTTTTCATTTTTTGTCAGACAGGTGAGATCGGAAACAAAATTTCGTTCGATTTCTTTACCAGTTTTTGAGATCAAAGTATGTCCTGTACGGTGTTTGAGCGCCAACTTCAAATAAAGTTTGATAAAATATTTACGAAAAAAGATGCTACCATCGATTTTCCAAACTTCAGTTCGAATACTACTTGAGATAGGGAGGAACAAAAAACATGGCCTCCTAAATGTCTATTATCACTGAAATACAAAGCGCACTCGGTAAACGCAACTCTCAGTTATCATTACCATAACTCTTAATTACTAAGTCTAAATACACTACGCATTTCTGAAGTGAATGGAACATTATCACAAGTACTTACACGCCCCACTGTTTTTATATTATCTATAAACATTCATCACCAGCCATGCCTTTTTCAGCTATATAACAATTGTCGAGGTGAAGTAAAATAATTGAAGAATGCGCCTGGTAAAAAATAAACGAACCACATGAAACTTTGAACTACTTTCATATCTTTGATAATGACACATATCAAACTATTCCAAAATCAGTTTTCCTTTCTGCATGATTTCCTTACACCTTTGCTGCTAAATTTCCTCCCTTTCTCCAATACTCGCGTCTCCAACTATATACCTTACTTACACACACCTCAAATCTAACTCTTCTCAACTTTATTCTGAATCCTGCCTAAAAAAATTGAACCAAGTTTACAGTACGATAGTGTTCCATGTAGAAAAAAAAATGAAAAATCGCATAATATAAATATCAGCTTTTGCAACGGAAACCCTCCAAAAAATGTTTTTTGAATTTCAATCTCATATGTCAGCCCTTATTGCAACTAGTGGCGTCAGTACCAGCAAAAAATGGGCCAAAATACGTGAGAAAGGGGGTACAGCGAACCTCAGCAAAACCAGTTACGAACTATCTGTCCGTCAGTGGCTGTATTATCGCATCATAACATTTCTTGTAACGCTCTGTAAACGGTCAAAACGACGACACTCTTCTACCCATAGATTGCTAAGACAGAATTCCACCAGTTTCTTACCGCAGTTAACAAAACTTTTTTGATTTTGATGACCGACAGCCAACTTTGACGAATTTCATTCCATCCCCTACCTAATCATAGCAAACTCAAAAGTTGCTGCACAAGAACCGTAAAAACAGCTGAGAAATATGAAAAACCAGAAAAAAAAAAAAAATTATCGAGTCAAACTAACCTCAGCTAAGATAGCATTAAGTTTTATAATGGCTTCTTCGAGGATAACTTGTGCAGTTACGGACAGTTCCGCATCCTCACCAGCTGTATCAATCAGTTCTGTGTAAAGACGACGAAACTGCTCGATTTGTCTTGTCACTACCGGTGTCCATTGTGCTTTAAATTCCTCAATATAATCAAGGACGCGCTGCAAATGTGCGTTAACCACATCAACCATTACGCTGCAAACAAACCATCAATGTGATGCGGAGCACATACACTAAAAATCAATCGATATATATGTCAACCTGCAAAACGAACCAACATAGGGAGGAAACCCAAAAAAAGAAAAAAACACGCAAGAACTGAAAGTAAAATAGATGGTGACGGATTCCAAATCCGCACATTATTAAAAAGCACAAATAACATCATCGTCACTGCGCATCAGTACCATCACGACAACAAAACCACACCACCGGCCAGAACAACAATAACAGTCGGCGATAATAAGTGCAGCGACGAGAAAAAAAGCAAAACGAAATAAAGGACAAAAAAAGATGTTTTTGGATGAAAATATGGCAAAAAATAATTAATAAAAATAAACAACGACGAAATAGTTGTTAAAAAAAAGTTCGGCAAAGAAGGCAAACAGCTTTCACAATGATCTCAGACAGTGTGTCATTTGCATTCTGCAGATCACGGTGAAGGCCGACTGCCAACTTCGGTTATCTTTTAAACATCCCATATAATCATCATAATCATTACACCAAACTTGCTTCTGCGGTTCCATATGTCTCCAGACTTCTTTTAACATTTGAATAATTCAGTCAAAAAATTAGAATAATAATGGAAAAACCAAAAAACTGGACCGAATAGTAGTAACAGTAATAATAATAACAGTAATATTGGGTAACCAAATAAAATTCAAAAAAAAATGAAAAAATAAACATCCACTGCAATACACCAGTTGTTTAATATTTTCACCATTATATCCACTGTTCATGATACATATAATCACAGCTTTTAAACGTGTGATAAACGGTTCCACACCTGTCAGCAATAAAACTAACCATAACTGGACCGTTGACACTTCATCGAATACCTTTACCCAGATAATATTAAATAATAGCAAATACCAAAAGAAAAAAAGAACTGGAGTAGAAACAATTATACAGGTATCCATAATATGTTTGCCCACTTTATCCTCTGAAAATTAAAAGTAAGAAATCCCGATTTCCTCCTATTTCTCTTCCTCGGTAAGTATACAGATTTATGTTCATCGCTTTAGGGATAAACAACATCAACTGTCCCCTGTCGTCTGCAGCAGACGATTATCATAACAACAGACAGTCAATTAATATCAGGAAAATATTTCATTCCAACAGAACATCGAACAACAAAAACAAAAACAACAACAACAGTTCCAACAGCGTCGCCGACGAAGACCACGACGACAGCAGCAACAACACTAACAGAAGAAAGCTGTTCGTAGAAGGAAAAGATGGAACAAAAAAAAAAAAAAGCAGAAACGGACCCTTCTCTTTACTAGACCTTCTCTTCTAGCACTAAAGCTCTCCTAGATCTCCGACAATTCTGCAAGTGCCAACGAAACAGACTGCTTTAAACTCCTACACAAAACTCACTGACATTGCACACACAGACACACACGGACACACAGACCACAGCATCACACAAACCAATGCATACACACACAAGCAGACACAGTGCACAGAACACACGGCAATCACCGCTCGGCACCCTTTCCACCTTCTCCACTCCTAAACAATACCTAAACCGTTGTAACATATCCAACTGAAAAACCCTCTTTTTTTTCCAACTAATAAAACTGCACACACAATTACATTACAAATTTCTCTTTTCTTCATCTACAAACGCCTTTTTTTTTTTTTTTTTTTTTTGAAATTTTACTAAGTAATAAGAATCAATGAGAACTTACCAATAAAAAACAGAACGAACCCTTAAAGTATTCATCTAAATACCCATCAAAAAACAAAGCATGACAGAAGATAGAAAAAAAAGTAACAATAATAATGACAGTAATAATACTAATAATAATAATAGCAATAAAAGATAAAAAAGTTTAGTTAAGTTTAGTTTAAAACAGGAAACAGACCTAACTACGCATGGTAAGTAAAGAAGAAAGCCTAATGGTAGGGGCGAAAACAATAATGAAGGTACGGATGATGACAATAACGCTGCTATTATTGACAGATGACGGTAACGACGATGAAGGCAATAATAGTGATAGTGATGTTGGTACTGGTGATAGCTGTAGAACTCTTTCGGTAAAGATGAACAAGTTGACACTATTACTGGCAACAATATGGGATCCGCATTGGTTGAATAAGACGATGACCAGGACGACGTTAATGCTTCTTGCTGTTGATGATAGAGTAATTTAGAAGTAGTTGTAGAGGACGGCAATGAAGACTGCTGCTATACTGACTAAGTGGTGGTACTGATGTTAGTGGCAGTGGCGATGGTGGTGCTGCTGTTTTTGATGCTGCTGTTGCTGCTGTCGATTAATACTGTTGGTATACAGACAGGGAAGGAGAAGAGAAGGGGTAGCAGAGTAAGGCACACACCGACTGCTGAGCGAAGCGAACAGTACTGAACACTGGCCATAATACAGCAATTGCAATACACTTTTACCGATCGGCCCCTAAAATTTTTCGTTTTGGGGCGGAACTTTTCAGCGAACAAAACGATTGCTGTTCTATTGCTGCTGTTATGCTGTTGGTGTTGCTGCCGTGGTATTATTATTATTGTTCCTGGGATACTGATGGAGAAAAGAACTGTCGTTGACGGCTGCTACTGGCTCCTCAATTGTTGTTCGTTGGTGCAGAATGCTGATGACGATGATAATGATTTTGGAGAGCCGAGTATTAGCAGTAGTGACAGCTAATGATAATAACTGTTACAGTTGATGAAGCAGCTATTAACTACTGAAATATATACTATAGCTACTACTGTAGTTATTGCTGCACACAAGAGTAGTTTTAGGTTAAAGAGTTTAGTTGATTTTGCTGTTACCAATCTGGATGCTTACAGCAAAAACAGCCCAGCTGCGGAATACAACGCCATTCCGAAATGTTAACCACTTCTAAAATACATCTACATATACACAGTACAAGGAAACTACTGAACCAACCACCTATAAAACCGTTTTCTGTAACGAAAAAAAAATTGGAAAAAAAAACAATTGAAAA